TTCGGTCGAGCTTGTCGTACGATCTTGCTAGTGCGATTTACTCTTTTGTGTAGTTTGTGAACTATTAGATAAGAGCGGAGTTTTGTTATGTGTGTACCCGAAGGATAGTGGCCGCAAATTTCCTTGTTATAACAAAAAGAAATATTACGTGTGGAACAATATTGAGAATAGACCACTTCTATCATAAAATATGTTACAAAAGATATTTTTGAACCGAAGTTTATATTCGTTCTTAATTTGATTATTTAAGTTTAATTAGGATAAGTTATCTGGGAAGGGTACTATAGTTAAAAAAATATTTTAACTACTTGAGGGGTTGTCCCTTAAATATACTCAAATTATTTTTCTTTATTTTGGATTAAAATATACTAATATTATTTCTATATGATATTTACATTAAACAAATGAATGACAGATTTTGAAAAAAAATAAGAGATCATTTTTTAGTGTCGGATTTGAACTCTGAGAATGGAGAAATTTGTAGTAGAAAGTGATTCCTCCTTTACAGCTTGTTTGGATGGTTGTTTTATATCGTTTCATAATGTATCATATCGTATTATATTGTATTGTATTGTACTGTATCGTTTGATGAATACAATGTTTGGATGAATTGTGTCGTTTTGCCATCGTTTCATATTATCACGCACCAGTAATATGATGAATAAGCTTGCAATATTATATAGAAAAATTATGATACAGTATATAAAAAGGTAGGGTAAATGATAAAATAAAATTATTTAATAATAATAAAGGGTGATATTGAGAGAAAATGACAAGGTAACGATGCGACCACACCAAATCGGTCGTTATATAAAGTGGCACATTTCATCATTACGTAACGACGAATTTAACGATACGATACGATAAAATTTAAGTAACAATCAAAGTAACAATACGATACAATACAATTAGTAACAACCATCCAAACAAGGTGTTAATGAATCCTACAGAGTTCAAATTATTTGAGATAGAGATTCCGAATTCTAGATGATTAAACTAAGATATTTGTAAAAAGCAAGAAAATGATACAAGAATTTTGTTCTAGTACCTTGTCACTTTGCTTTCCTTTATCATTATTTTTAATTAAAAAAATTCTGGAGCCATCTATTTTCACATAAAAAATATCCAGACATACCGGTATGAACAAGAAAAGGAAATATCTAGAAATCCAAAATATGTCATTGTCTGTTTTTCTAAATTTTTTTACTTTAATTAAAACCAAATAAGAAAAGACAAGGAAATTTAATGCACCTCAGTGTGAAATAAAATTGGTTAAATTATTGCTCTAGTCAACCTTATTGGTTGAGTCCGACACCTAAATAATAACTTTTGGGACTCAAAATATGTTTCTAAAGTTTTTTAAAAAAAATTACTTTTCTATCTAAAACGCAGTATAACGTTATTATAATAGTGCGTTTTACACCTTGCTAGAGGTCTGACAAAAAAACACCCTTCGATGTAGGGAGTATATGCTATTGCTTTCTTTTTTTTCTTTGATGTAGGGACTCAGGAATTGACCGATCAGGTTACTATGATAATAAAAATTAAATATGCATGTTAGTAGGGGCCCCCTTAGAAGACAAATTATATTCCATATCATTTGTCATTAATTATTTTTCTTTTTTATTTTTGTAAACATTTCCACAAATTGAACTCCCTGTATTTTTTTTAATATATTTAGTTGTTTGATGTAAAATATATTTTAATATTAATCATTACTTTAGTCACATGTATCTTTTTTCTAAGAGCCTACTTTTCTCTCTATCAAAGAAAAGTAATAACGTAATACATTCCTAGTAGTTTTTTTTATTTGGAAAATATTTTTACTTATATGATAATTTTGAGAAAAAATTGAATTGCATTTTTTTCTACTTAGATAATTTGATTATTTATTTTAAACATTAAAGAAAATATTTTTTTCATTAATTAAAAGCTTAATATTAATTCATCCCATGTTTTAATATTTAGATATAATTACAATTTGGGATAATGTTGAAACTTTCCTCTGAGATTTTCCTTATAATACAAACTTCTATTGCGGTTTGAGAATTACACTCACCTCTCTTATTTTTATTTTTTATAACGAAACAAAATTCACATGATAAAATCTAATAACATCTATTTAATGTTCAAATTGCCCTTTAATGGCATTAAATATTTTTAATATTAAATTTAGTAACACAAAATTCTTTACATGAGTACAAAATAAAAGTAATTTGCGGTTAATGCGAGTAATAAATAAGAAATTCTTTACATGAGTACAAAATAAAAGTACAAAACAGGTCATAAATAAGAAATCATTTCTTTGAACTCTGAGAATGAAGAAATTTGCGGTAGAAAGTGATTCTCCTTTAAAGGGTAATACGCAATGCGAATTTGAATTAATCGGAATAAATTTTCGAATATCAAAAACTAAACTCAAATAATTATTTCTTTGTACATATCAAACTATTTCCCCTCTCCTGACTCCTCCACCCTATAAAAGTAAAAGATATTTGCAAAAAACAAGAAAATGATACCAAATTTTTGTTCTAGTAGCTTGTCACTTTGCTTTCCTTTGCTTCCTAAGAATACAATCTCATTTATCATTATTTCTAATAAAAAATTTTCTAGAGATATCTGTTTTTACAGATAAAATATCCCGACATACCGACGTTTTGATACCACCAAGAACAAAAAAAAAAGGAAATTCCAAGAAATCCAAAATATGTCATTGTCTGTTTTCTAACTTCTTTTACTTTAATTAAAACCAAATAAGAAAAAACAAGGAAATTTAATGCACCTCAGTGTGAAATAAAATTGGTTAAATTATTGCTCTAGTCAACCTAATTGGACAAATAAAGAATAAAAAACACGTGTACAAAACTACATCCTCATTTTCCAGCCATGTGTATTCATTGATCACAGAAATTTCTTTAATGGACAGTATGCATTTATTGGATTATGAAACTTCACTTGATAAAGACAAGACAAAATGTAAAAAATGGTCCCTATATTTTGGAGTACGTTGAAAATCCAATAATGTTTGATTGACAACTTGGTATTTGTTTTATGGGTTAATGGGTTATTGGAGCGGGCTTAAGAGAGATCCGCCTATGTGGATGTCACGTGGATGTCATGTCAGCTAATTAATGCCTTTGAGAAGGTTTATATGGACTGCCGTTAAAATGAAGGCATTATTGGTCCAGTTTACTAATGTGAGGGATATTAATGGTACAGTTTATTAATGGTGGACAAAATTGAACTATATCCAATAGTTTAAGGATATTATTGGACCTTTTCCGTTTTCATTATCATAGTGACCGGTCAATTCATGAGTCCCTACATCAAAGAAAAGAGAGAAAGCAATAGCATATACTCCTTACATTTAGCGCGGGGGATTCTTATTTTGTGTCTCATACAACTGATATTAGTTGTATAAGACAACTTTTTTGTCTCGTAATTTCATGGACCCAGATTAAAGGGGTAATTTTTGGGAATAAATAGAAGGACAATAAAAATGGTGTAGTATCAGTTATTTGGATGAATTTTCTACACAAGCTGTAATATTTTTGTTCTTTTTTTAGTTTTTGTTTCTTTTCAGAGTTGTATTAATCCCCCTTGGGCAATAAAAATTTCAATAACCCAGAAGTGTAAGATTGAGTCCACAAATTTGTGAGATAAAAAGGAGCCTCATACAACTAATGTAAGTTATATGAGACACAAAATAAAACTTCTCTTAAGGGTGTGTTTTGTCCGACCTCTAGTAAGGAACAGAGGTGTAAAACGCACTATTATAATGCGTTATTGTATAATATTGCGCTTTACTTTAACGGCTAAAATTCCATTAAAGTAAAGCGTAGTTTTATACTGCGTTTTAAGTAGAAAAATAACTTTTTTTTAAACTGTAAAAGCGTAATTTGAGTCCCAAAAGTCATTATTTAGGTTTCGGACACTAACCTGGTTAAGTAAAAGAAGAAACTTCATCCTCATTTTCCTGCCACGTGTATTCATTGATCACATAAAGTTTTTAAGGGACAGTATGCATTTATTGGATCACGAAACTTCAGTTGATAAAGACAAGAGAAATGTAAAAAATGGTCCCTATATTTTGGAGTAAGTTGAAAATAGTTCCTTAAATATACTCCTGAGCAATTTTGATCTTTTAAGTTTATCAAAAATGAGCACTTTTTATCTCCGTCAAATATTTATAACCAGAAATTTCAGGAAAGTCCCGTCAAATCCCAAAAACTACAATAATAAAAACTACACCAAACACCAAAAATAGATTTAAAAAATTCAATTTATGTCGCACTTTTTTCTTTTTAATTTGTCCCAAAGAGAATGTCATCTTATATTTAAAATAATTTAACTTTAAAATTTTTAATTTACCTTTAATGTTATAATTTGTAGCCACACAAATGTCTAAGACTTGTTTTATATCACAAATTTTAAAAATCTTCCTTCTTAAACTCCATGTCAAATCATGTGATGCCATATAAATTGGGACGGGAGTAAGTAGCAAAAATAAAATAGCTACAACAAACTCCAGAAATTGACCAGGGACGGAGCCACAATATTAATTGCGGGTTCAGCCGAATCCAGTAGCTTTTATTCATACCCTATATTTGTATTAAGAAAGCCGATAAATATGTACACATTATTAATTTAAAATCCAATAACTTAAAAGGATTATAATCCTAAATCCATAAGGTTCAAATCCTAGCTCTGCCTCTGAATTTGACCATATAATATCAGAAACTATAAAAACTATACCACCAAATACAGAGTTCATATTAAATCATTTTATTTCATAGTTTTCATTAAATCTAACAACGAAAGTTTGCCAAATATTTAAAGAAGTACTTTTGATAAATTTAAAGGACAAAAACTACTTAGAAATATATTTAAGGGACTAGTTTGAACATAACCCAAATATAAGGAACCATTTTTGACATTTTCTCATAAAGACAACTTGATACTTTCTTCTCCACAACTATATATAAATGCATGTTATAGAAGTAGGAATACTGTAAAAGAAAACTCCATTATTAGAAACACTAAACAATAAAAATGGAGACATTATTTAACATCAAAGTTGCAGTTTCATTAGTAATTGTGATAATTTTTCTGAGATGGGTATGGAAATTCTTGAATTGGGTGTGGATTCAACCAAAGAAAATGGAAAAAAGACTAAAAATGGAAGGTTTCAAAGGAAGCTCATATAAGCTATTATTTGGAGATATGAAAGAAATAAATACAATGGTTGAAGAAGCCAAAACCAAGCCTATGAATTTTACCAATGATTATGTGGCTAGAGTCTTGCCTCACTTCACAAAGTTGATGCTCCAATATGGTATGTAATATTATTTTTGAAATTTTACAATATTAGTGCAATTTAACTGATTATAGCAGGTCATGACGCTATTTAAGAGGTTGTTATATCAGGTTTTGACATGTAGAGTTACTCTATGCACTCACAGTGTAATAATTACACAATCAGGTCATTATCTATGATAAGCTTTAATTAGTAATCTGATAAAAGTAATAACTAACTTGATGTCACAGGTAAACCTACACTAATAGCGGTGGCGGAAGCAGAATTTTCACCAAGGGGATTCAAAAAATAAAAAAAATAAACACGTAAAAAAGCTAAGGGGATTCAACTCCTGATATATATGCATTCAAAAAAAATTTAACATTATATATATAGTGTAATTTTTGGTGAAGGGGGTTCTGAACCCCCTTCCGCCTACCTAGCTCCGCCCTCGACTGATAGTGTAAACTATCTTTACATTGGGAGTCTGTCTATAATAAATCATATTTTAAATGAGGCTCAGTTCAATTCTTGAATCTCTTTTAACTTCCTTATAGATTCCCAATAGTTTGAGATTTGTGTATTCTCTAATCCTATGTTGCTCGGACTCTTCGAAAATATCACCGGGTGCATGCCGGATCCTCCAAAAATAGTGTATCTTTGGAGAATCCGACACGAAAGCGGCTGCATTTTGGAGAGTCCGCGCAACCTAGCTCTAATCTAGCTTGTTGTATCTTGTAGGCAAGAATAGCTTTATGTGGTTAGGGCCAAAACCAACAATGTTTATCACAGACCCTGAACTAATAAGGGAGATCTTGTCAAAAAGTTACATATACCAGAAGATTCAAGGCAATCCAATCACTAAGTTGCTAGCACAAGGACTAGTAAGTTATGAAGCAGAGAAATGGGCTAAGCATAGAAAAATTATCAATCCTGCATTTCACCTTGACAAGTTGAAGGTATTTTTAACATCCTAAATCACTTGATGCTAACTTATATTATTTTAGATGATTTTATACTACCACTGTATTAGGATGAATTCAGAATTAGAGACAGATGTATCAGTGACGGATCCAGAATTTAAACTTTATGTGTTCAACCTTTAAGGTTTTTAGCGTTGAACCTATCATATTTTTAAAGTTATGGGTGCATATCTACTGTTTATTACAATTTTAATAGATTTTTACACATAAATTTATGCTTCCTGTCGAATGTACAGGGTTCAGATGAACCAGGCATCCACCTATGGGATTTACAGTTTACATTGGATGAACTGTATAGCTGATATTACTCCCAGAAAGAAAAAAAATGTTATCGGTACAAGGTGAAAAGCCAACGCTCGTAGTAAAAATTGGATAGGTTCGATCTGTTGTCATTAGGGCTTCCTTAGGCTAAGTTCAACTAAATCGACAATTTTTTATTTAGAAGACCATCAATATATATATGTGAAAAGGGAAAAGCCCGAAACTATTATAAATATTACATGTTTTACCTTGAATCCATAAAGTTTACGTTCTGGATCCGCCTCTATCCATAATATTAGTTATTAAGAGTAGGAAATATAAGTTGTTTTTAACAATTTCACAATGCACGTCCGAAAGCACATATGCGCTGGACAAGACTTAATCTAGAAATATCAGTAGCCTATTTTGATAAAGTCTAGATGTGAAAAATCCAAGTATGACTAATTTCTGGTGTATATGTAGCATATGCTACCATCATTCTACTTGAGTTGTTGTGACATGCTCAGAAAATGGGAAAGTATAGCTTCATCAGAGGGATCAGAAATAGACGTGTGGCCTTTTCTGGAAACGTTGACAAGCGATGCTATTTCAAGAACAGCTTTTGGTAGTAACTATGAAGACGGGAGACAGATATTTGAGCTTCAAAAAGAACAAGCTGAGTTGATTTTACAAGCAGCGCGATGGCTTTACATCCCCGGATGGAGGTAAACACTTTCAAGAAAAATAGTTCTGTTATTTTACTATCATAGAGTAAACTTGACTTATAGTTTTCTGACTTCACTAGTGGATAAAAGCTAGTGATCATATGTGAAATTAACGCTGTGTTTTTGGCATAGGTTTGTGCCAACAAAGAGGAACAAGAGGATGAAGCAAATCGCTAAAGAAGTACGATCATTAGTGTTGGGAATAATCAATAAGAGAATAAGGGAAATGAAAGCAGGGGAAGCTGCAAAAGATGACTTACTGGGAATACTATTGGAATCTAATTTCAAAGAAATCCAAATGCACGGAAACAAGAACTTTGGCATGACTATCGACGAAGTGATTGAAGAGTGCAAGTTATTTTACTTTGCTGGGCAAGAAACTACTTCAGTTTTGCTTGTTTGGACTTTGATTTTACTGAGTAAGCATGTCGATTGGCAAGAAAGAGCTAGAGAAGAAGTTCATCAAGTCTTTGGAAGTAACAAACCTGATTATGACGCATTGAATCAGTTGAAAGTTGTAAGTACTGTCAATATCCACCATACTAGCTTTTGCTATCCAAAATTTGGTATTTTAGATTTTTTAGTGCTTAGCCTATATCACGTCTTCCTTAAAAGGAAGTTTTGACATAACTGGTAAAGTTGTTGCCATGTGATCAAGAGGTCACAGGTTCCTGGTCACGGGTTCGAGCTATGGAAACAACCTCTTGCAAATATGCAAGGTAAGGTCGCGTACAATAGACCCTTGTGGTCCGGCCTTTTCCGGACCTCGCGCATAGCGGGAGCTTAGTGCATCGGGCTGCCCTTTAGCCTGTAACAAGTCTGAATGGATGAGGGTCGGGGTAGGCTGACAACCAACGTATATTAGTCAATTTACGATGAATCCTTACAATACATTATTTTTTGGCATAACTGGTAAAGTTGTTGTCATGTGACCAGGAGGTCACAGGTTCGAGCCGTGGAAATAGCTTCTTGCAAAAATAGAGGGTAACAACAGACCTGTGGTCATGCCCTTTTCCGGACCCCGCGCATAGTGGGAGCTTAGTGCATCAAGCTGCCCTTTCGCCTGTACCAAGTCTAAATGGATGTGGGTCGGGGGTAGGCTGACAACCAGCGTATGATTAGTCAATTTACGATGATTTCGGGTTCGAGTCGTGGAAACAGTTTCTTGCAAAAATGCAGGATAAGACCGTGTACAATAGACCTTTGTGGTCCAGCCCTTTTCCAGACGCCCCGCATAGCGGGAGCTTAGTGCATTGGGCTGCCCTTTTACCTGTACCAAGTCTGAATGGATGAGGGACAGGGTTGGCTGACAACCAGCGTATGATTAGTCAATTTATGATGAATCCTCACAAGACAGTATTTTTACTACTTACTTTTACAGGTAACGATGATATTCAACGAGGTTTTAAGGTTGTACCCACCGGGAATTACCATAAGTCGAACTGTACACGAGGATACCAAATTAGGGAACTTGTCATTGCCAGCAGGGATACAGCTTGTGTTACCTGCAATTTGGTTGCATCATGACAATGAAATATGGGGAGATGATGCAAAGGAGTTCAAACCAGAGAGGTTTAGTGAAGGAGTTAATAAAGCAACAAAGGGTAAATTTGCATATTTTCCATTTAGTTGGGGACCAAGAATATGTGTTGGACTGAATTTTGCAATGTTAGAGGCAAAAATGGCACTTGCATTGATTCTACAACACTATGCTTTTGAGCTCTCTCCATCTTATGCACATGCTCCTCATACAATTATCACTCTGCAACCTCAACATGGTGCTCCTTTGATTTTGCGCAAGCTGTAGCGCGGATATATTGATTGGTTATCTACTGTAGGTTACTAAAACATATATCATGTTTTTTGGTCGTAGAACCTTCTATCTTTCTTTGTACTTTGTTTCTGTTTGATGACAGTGTTGTCCAAGCCAGCTTGTACGGTTGTATCTTTCTTTGTACTTTAAGAGTCCATCAGGCTTCGAGTCCATCCCCTTTTTATATATAAAGATAACCAATCGATGCACAATGTTAATTATTTTTTGGCAAAGGAGATTCAATTGATCCAAGGATCCAATCTAATAGAGACAAAAATAAAATATACTGAGTTTTTCCCAACAAAATGACAACAAACCTAGTGTAGTCTCACAAGTATGATCTACGTAGGGTAGTGGTCCTTGAGCCGGAGGTCTATTGAAAACAATCTCCCTACCTTCGCAAGGTAGGGGTAATGTCTGCGTACACACTACCCTTCCCGGATTCCACCTATTGAAATTACACTTTGTTTTTGTTGTTGTTGTTGCCTAAGTCTTAATGGACAGAGTTACCTAATGTCTATCTAAAAAGTCGCTAGCAACTTAGTCGAAGAACGAGCAAGTTGATCCGAACACCAGTTATTTTTAGGCGAAGCAGATCTTTAGGTGATAAAAGAGGCTGCTAAAGAGTGGATTGTTGGGTATGTTGACCCTTAAAATCAACATTTCAGCACACTGAACTGTACCTTGGATTAACCGAGTATCGGTCATAAACAGTAGTTACCTTAGCATATTGCCAAGCAGTCCAGTATTCCAATGATATACTGTACTAGTATAGGCCAGTCTTCAGAATAAACAATCATAATATCTCACAATATGAATGTCATGAACATTGCATAATACTAACTTCAGCAGAACAGACTATCGGCAGTTCAATTCGAACAAAGACTATTCATGATCTGCAAGATAAGCAGTCAACTAAAAAACGAAGAGAAGAGAGAAAAGTGAAGCCAGTATCATAATCCTGACCAAGCAGTCGCAATCACCCAACAAAGTAGTACTACTATCAACCGTACCACGACATGAAATAGTCAGGGAGATCACATACTACTGACTTCAGTAGAATCATACTTGCATATCAGTAAAAACTCCCAACTTCATAGATACTATCATAGTATTTATTCATAGTACTGAAATCGGTCTATCACACGACATACCAGTCAAAAAGATCTCACAACGTGAAATAGTCATTGGGATTATATACAGCCGACTTCAGCAAAATCATACTGCATATTACTCGCTAGATAATATGATAATAATTAAGCTACTAGATAATATGATAGTACTCGGACATTTCACTCTTCCAAGGAGCGCATAGCAGGTAACTCCCTATCAACTCCAACAGAACAGATTAGGTTCTTGCATAGCTGCTACGCTGCCACATGGATCTTCTTCTCAGTTCTTTCAGCAGACAAGCCACTATAGAGATGAAAGCGACCCTCTTCAGATTGGTCAGACAAACATGAACATATCGTTAGCAGCTTCATTTCATCATCCATCTAGTAAACCAGGAAGAAAAGAACATTAGGAAGGAAATGATGCAAATATTCCCGATCTTCAAAAGAAATTGCATGCAAAATAAGATAATTGTTCTATCATCAAATTAAGGAGATCTTTACTGCTAAGCTGACTAAAACTTAACATTCAAAGGACATGCCCACGGACCTGAAGAGCTCCCGGTAACTTGTTGCTAAGCACATGAGCGGCCAAGTCAAACGCGAACCCTCGCACACCAGTGCAAGTTTCTTGCTTGACTCTTGCACCGGCGTTTATGAGATGAAAGTTACCTTCATATTGCTCAGACAAACTCAAAGAAATTAGTGGCAACTTCTCCATCTAGTAAACCAGGAAAAAAGAAACAAAATATTAGAAAGGGATAATGAAAATCTCCAATATTCAATAGACATTGCATGCAAAAGAAGATAGGTGGCTCGATTAAAAAAGTTGATCTTTACTACTAAGTTAATTCAAAACTTCACACTCGAGGACAAGACAAAGTCTATGCCCACTGACCTGAACAGCTTCCAGTAATTTGCCACTAAGAACATGAGAGGCCAAATCAGGCGCAAGCCCTCGCACACCACCGCAGGCTCCCTGCTCCACTCCTGCACCAGCACTTGTGAGATGAAAACAACCTTCCCATTGCTCAGACAAATGTGAAGAATTTACTGGCGACTCCATTTCTTCATGCAGGTCATCCATCTAGTAAACCAGGAAGAACAAAAAGAATATTGGAAAAGAAATTAAGAACAAAACGAATATTAGAAAGAAATTAAGGCAAATATTTATAATCTCCAAGAGATATTGCACACAAAAGAAGATAGGTGGTTTTGATCATCAAAGTTGGTTTTTACTGCTAATTTGATCATAACTTCACATTCAAGAACAAGACGGCGTCTCTGCCAACTGACCTGAAGAGCTCCCTGTAATTTTTCGCTAAGCACAAGAGCAGCTGGGCCACGCAAGAGCCCTTGCGCACCAGTGCAGGCTTCCTGCTCCATTCCTGCACTGGCATTTGTGAAGTTGCTTAATTGCTAGTCAGAATCTTCATAAAATTCACCTTCATCAGAAAGGTCATCAAAAGCACGAACATCAAGCTGGTAGCGGAGAATCCCTCCAATGCCACCAAAACCACGGCAAAACTGAGATCCTTCTTGTGATTTATTGGTAACAAACTCCAGACTACAACCAAACCTCCTGTACTCATTTGCAAACCACTCAAGCAGTGGCAATTTATCCTGAATTTCTAATTCTGCATTCGTAGCAGGGTCGCGGAAGTTACTTTGGACAGTGTCTTGCTCCTTATTCAAGTGTTTGATGACTGTTTCTCCAGAAGTGTTATTTTTCAGCACATACCTAGTCATGTCCAGATTTTCCCACACAATAAGGGTCTCAATAGCACCCATTTCCAGAACTTTCAAGGTATCATCAACCCCAAAAACATACTTCCCAGTGTCCTGACTAATCTCCTCAAAATACTTGCCTATCAATTTCTTCTCTTGTATAAATTTCACGTTGGCCAAGATCTCAGCAGACAACTCAATTGCTTGATTGAAACCATTTTCTCCTCCATAAGAAACATCGACCACATTCAATATTTTTGCCTGAAGACGAGGATCAAACATATCAGACTGGCTAAGCTCTGTCTTAAAGTCAGCTGATCCAGCTAGTATCAGGCCTGAAACATTGGGCTGACTGGTGGCAGGATTAATATAAAACTGGGTTGCAAGCTCTGCTGTTTTCCTCACATAGTTGTGCCGTTTCTCCATCCGAAGACGAGCAAAACGCAGTGCTGACTGTCCTCCTCTTCCGTGTTTTTTGGGCAGATCAACACTAAACTTGTGAAGAACCTCCCTGGTATTGCCACTCAATGTCCCGAAAAGTGTCCCATTTCCATCCATTATAATAAATCCAAACTTGTCATCAGATTCCAAAAGTTCATTCAGGGCTTCTGTGTGGAACTTGTTATCACAAAGATATAGAGATGCATTAATGGGCCTGAAGGGCTCAAAATCAATTGTAACCTTCTTCTCTTTCCCATCTTCAGTCATGATCGTTCCAGTGTAAAGCACAAGCCCATTTGGTGGAACCTTGTTATAGAGTTTAAGCCTCTGCTGAGCAGATGTGATTGCACCCAACACAGATTGACGATTAACTCTACTTTTAATGTTCGATGCAGTTCCAAACTCATCTCCAAGCATCTTAGTGACCCTAGATACTTGATCCCGTGGAGGCATGATAAGAGAAATCATGCTGGTACCATTGCCTCGAGCAGCTTCAAGTGCCTTTATAAGTTTCTTGATCTTCCATATCTCGATATTCTTATCGTTATCATGACCGTCAGCCATCAATGTACACCGAACTGTAGTTCATAAAAACAAAAAATCATCAGATATTAGTGCACAACCAAAGACTAAGATAAGTAAGCTCCAAGTGACAAATCAAATGCCCGAGCCTTCTAACAACCAATCAATGACAGCTATTGAGTGCTAAACTTATGATGGGACAGTTACAATATCCACTTAGAAGTTCGTATAGGAACTTTAATGAGCTTGTATAACATCCAATTTCCCCAATTCCAGAGCTAATATCTATATGTGCTGATAATCTTCACGAGTTTACTTCTTTTAAAAGGCCTAATGTTTACGGGGGCTACTATATCGCTGTAACATCAAACAAAAGCTAAAAACTATGTGATCACTGCCTCATTGAGTACTGAATAGTGAATATACATCTTGATATAATAAAAAATTAAAATCTTATAAAAGTTGATTTTTTCCTGAAGCGCATCTTATTATAGCTATTACAAAATCTTCTTTCTTTTTCCCCCTTAAAATTAGAATCTTGTGAAAGTTGATTTGAAGCTTCTTATTACAGCTACTACAAATCTTCTTTCTTTCTTTCCTTTTTTCCTTTTAAGGGAAA